ATGTTATTTTATGCAACTAGGTATTATTTTACAAACTATTCACCATTTACTAACATAGGCCTAATAAACTGCTGAAGCAAAAAAGTATCATAGAGATTTGAGTAAGAAAACACTCATAATGCCTTAGCAACACCCTGGCAACCTCTAGCATTGTGGCTACTCACATTTCCTTCAGACAATGTAAGAATCTAGTTTGTATAATACATAATAATTATCAGCATTTCAAGGAGCTCCAGGAAGTAATGTCCATGTGGGTTTAGCTTTAAACAGATCCAGTCTATGGAGAAGTGATTAATTCAGACGCACGAGCAGCAGAAATCCCTACAGCTGCAGACGGTGGTCCAGAATGTGCAGAACAGATTCAATAGTATGCTACATTATTCAAAGCAGCCTGCAAACAAAACCGTGATGAATGTTGTGTTTCCGCCGCGGTGCATCAGCACAACACACAACAAACACCTTTAAAATCTATAACAGTGCATTTACACACAGCCCTTTTCAATAGACTCAATAGGCCGATTCACTGCAACAGACTCCTGACTGCACGCTTTCTGCTAGTCTGCGGCTGATAGCATGTGTGTGTGTGTGTGTGTGTGTGTGTGTGTGAGATCTTATAGGGTTTTGATTTATTTCATTGTTCCCCATGGTCTGTGGAGCACTCAAAAAGCGTTAATGCCATGTATCGGGGCAGGAGCCATAAATCACAGGCTGAGCTGAAGAGGAGCCGCCGTCCGGCACCCTGCCGCTGATTTGGACATTGAACCCTGAACCCCAGAGACCCTCAGCAACTCCCCTGTGTGGTCTGGATGAGAGAGATAGAGAGAGACTGGAGAGGTGCGAACATCTTAATGAGAGGATCTGACTTTTCCTCACCTCCTCACATCTTACAAGAGACTCTGAGTGAGTGTACGGACATAATAAAATGAGACAATGCATATGTGTAAAAATAGAAAACGTTTGTGTCAGACTGTATTAAAAAGTAATTACAATTACACACACACACACACACACACACACACACACACATATATTTATATTATAATTAAATTAAAATTATAATAATTACAATTATTATAAAACTAGTATTTTCACCAGCTAAAAAATGGTTTTAAGTTAGTTAATTATATATTTTGCTGTAGGTTTCTTGAAGTGTCTTGGAGACGTTGCCACAGTTCTTCTGGATTGAGTCTGTCTCAGTTTGTTCTGTTTCTTCATGTCATTCCAGACAGACTGGATGATGATGAGATCAGATCTCTGTGTGGAGCACTGGCTGTTGTCAGACTCCTTGTGCAAACAGAAATCTTACTGGATTGTTACAATTAATGGCAAAATGAATGTTTGAAAATGCAAATTGGAATTTCCTACTGACACACTACAGCAAACAATAGAAATAACTGATACGTGAAAGCTGGTGAAAACACTAGTGTTATAATACTTTTGGCCACCACTGTATATATAATATTTTTTTTTTCTTTTCTGAAAATAACAAACTTGAAATAAGTGTAAACACATAACAAACCAATCTTCAGTGTATAAGGTACTTACCTGCTCATGAGACATTTTTCGATTATCTTTTTGTTTTTTAAAGCTTCAGATTTATCCTTGTAGAAAAATGGTGTTGAAGGTCAACTTGTGCATTTACAAAACCAATGTTCCACTGTAAAAATTAAGTCATATTTTCTGGAGAGAGAGAGAAAAAAATGCTCAAAGCATCAAAATCAATCATGCAGTTATGCTGAAAACAAAAAGGAAAAAAAAAATCAATCTATCTATCTATCTGTCTGAACATCACAGTAATAGATTGGAATATTATAACATCTATGCATTAAACTGTAACAAATTATAACGTGAGATCATTTGATACCACAGTCTTTAACTTACATAGAAACACACATACATATTAAGGATCACTGTGGTGGACAGTAGAGTAACACACTGAGGTCAGACACAACACACATTCACCTGCTGTCTCTCACTCACACATACACACACATACACACACACACACACAAACCAACATATTCTCCAGCGTCTCCTCGTCCCTCGTGTGTGTGCAACGTGACAGTATCTCGCAGCAAGTGCTGCTGTCTGTCCCTCTCCTAATACTATCTTTATTTGTTTCACTAATGGCTGTAAAGTTCTTTATTAAGGTGGTGAATTTGTTGAAGTAGAGGTTTCTTATGGGTATGCATTTATGTATTTATGATCTATAAAGAACTTCCTTTTTTTTGTATGTGTGTGTGCAGCCATGTGTGCATCTCTGTGGAATTGAAAGAAAGTTGTACATTTGGACTCCATGAGCTTCTAATGAGCGTTAGAAATCAGTCAGAATGAGAAATTTTAGAAAGCAGCACGATTTCACCACCTACCTTTTGGAACGGCCTCTGCTGCGCTCATGATGCTTTAAATGTTGCCAAGGTAGGCAGACCGCTACATTTCGCAACAAAGCTGTGGAGGATAAAAAAAAACAAGATTTTTCAGCATATGCCGGTGAACTTTCCGAGCTGCATGGAAGTGCTGAATGTGAAAATGTTTTAAGCTATGTGACGCACAAACACCTGCTCACCACTTTCTACTTTTAGCTGCTGGGTATGCATTTATGTATTTATGATCTATGATCTATAAAGAACTTCCTTTTTTTTGTGTGTGTGTGTGCAGCCATGTGTGCATCTCTGTGGAATTGAAAGAAAGTTGTACATTTGGACTCCATGAGCTTCTAATGAGCGTTAGAAATCAGTCAGAATGAGAAATTTTAGAAAGCAGCACGATTTCACCACCTACCTTTTGGAACGGCCTCTGCTGCGCTCATGATGCTTTAAATGTTGCCAAGGTAGGCAGACCGCTACATTTCGCAACAAAGCTGTGGAGGATAAAAAAAAACAAGATTTTTCAGCATATGCCGGTGAACTTTCCGAGCTGCATGGAAGTGCTGAATGTGAAAATGTTTTAAGCTATGTGACGCACAAACACCTGCTCACCACTTTCTACTTTTAGCTGCTGCTTAAGAGGATGTTCAGATCTCTTATTGGGAGTAATGCAAACCCCAACAAGCTTGGTTAATGTTCAGTGAATCCATTTGTGAAATACATCAAATGAAGGCCATTTGCTTTAGTCTTGTGAAGCTCGATATTCAAGTCAAAACTCTACCTGGTAAACAGATCAATAGGCCTCATTTCCCTGTGGTCAGTTGTTAATGAAACTGTGCCATTCATTAAAAAGTGAAAACTAAGATCAAATTGCTGTAAGTGGATGGAGTCTGTGTGAGGGCTATGTGAAGGTGATGCTGATTTATATAGTCAAATCTCTGCATCTCACAGAATAAAGATGGCGTGGGCCATCAATGGGAGTTTCAGTACTTCATCCAGCGACTGTCATCGACATTTTTTCCTGTGGTCTTGTTTTCAGAGACAGATAGAGAGTTTTTATAAGCATAATGCTGAAATGTCCACATCACTTCCTTATATAATTAAACCAGAATCAGTCCAAACTGAAATAAAGGATTTGAAATAAACATGTTGCTTAGCCAATATTAGTGGCACTCATAAAACATTCAAAGCACATACTGAATAAACTTTATATTATTATTATTATTATTTAGCATTTAAAATTATATAGATAGCTAACAATATTCCTATTTTTTTAAAGTACACATAAAGTATAGCCTTAAAGTATATACTAAAAAAATTTAATAAAATATGTTAATTGGTAAATCATTGGACCACACCCATCTCTTTGTCAGTTTCCATGATTGTAGTCAGTTCATTGGTTCTCCTCTGCTTATATAACTCTTGTGTTTCTCTTGTATTTTGTCAGTCATTTGATGTTATGGTTCATCTCATGGTTCTGTTCCTCATGCTCCGTGTTTGTGTTTGCTGCTTTTGTTTCTTTTATTAAAACTCCTGCACTTGGATCCACATCTCTGCCTGCCTTCTCTGCCAGCCATATTAAATCTAAAAATGCTGTTTATAATAATGTCAAATTAAAATTTTAAATACATTTCAAAACATTATTTTGATGTACTGTCTAACATAAAACACATGTAAAATACTTGGTTGCAATTTTAACATTTAAAATCAAAATGATTTAAATGTACTTTATATGTTAATACAAGTTTCAACAGAAATGACATTGTATCTAAGTTTATCATAAATTCTTCTCAGTACATTTAGCAGTACTTTAACAATACTTGAAAGACAATAGAAGTAATCATGAAATTACATATAAAAATGTACTTAAAGGTGCAGTGGGAGATCTTGGAAAATGCTAACTTTAGCCTGATAGCACTGAAAGCGAACGTCCCACCCTCCCTGCAATCGCCCGTACAAAGCCACACCCCCTGAACGCATATACGCTCACAGACCAGAATACCAGAGGCAACATTACAGTAGGCTACATCAGCGGTTCCCATTTCCAGCCCATGTTCCGAAGTGAAGTAAACTTCAACGGATTTCCCCTGCTCAGGCGCGAGGTGCGAGGACTGAGATTGGGAACCGCTGGGCTACATCATGTGTCATTCACCGGTGAGAAAACTTTAAAAGTACTACAATACCAGGAAGGAAGATCAGGTTGTTGATGTTTGCCTGCCATTCTCGCTCTGTCTGCACAGTGTGTGTGAATGCACTGATGACGTATCCTGAGGTATGCCAATACATACATTGACAGGCAGGTAGGAAAGCCAATTAAAACACTCGGACCGAGCGTTTTGATTGGACGAACATTTCTTGGTCCTACGCCTTCCACAGAATATATAAATACAGATAAATACATTTAGACCACTTAACTTAATGATTGCTATCGGGATGTGAAGAGACTTTCAACCAGCATAACAAAAAATGTTTCTGAAGACAATCACCTATTGCACCTTTAAGTCCCACTTAATTTGGTAAAAAAATTTCTATAAAATTCAGCTTATTGCATTCAACAAATTTAAAGTATAATTCATTTCATTTACCTATTTGATATGCAATTAAGTGTCTGAAAACATTACATTCGGTTCACACTAAAGTACGGTATATTCTTTTAAAGTTTATTATTTCCAATAAGCGCTTAAAAAAGTATGCTAAAGTCGACTTCTTTTTCACAAGAGGTGAAGTGATAAACTGTATACATTTAATGCAATGTATGTCAGCTACCTTTTGAATGCATGAATGTAATGTAAAAATCTACCATCTTGGATGATTTCTTTGCCCACTGATTTTATCACAGTGTATTCTGGGATTGTCTACTCCTTCATAAAAACATGCAATACTGCCTTTGAAAGAATATTTTATAATCATACCGCTTGCTTTTTGAATCACTCATGACTCGGGAGTGTACTATATTCTGCCTTTCATTTTTGGCATCTCACAAGGTTTTGGAGCAGAGCTTAAATGTTACTCTTGTGCAGGTTAAAATGAAAAATATACTGTATGTGTACTGCAAATACACCCACAGCATCTGCTGATGTCTCGGCCACTGTGCTGGTTGGTTGGTAACAGCATTATTTTCTGATTTTCTCTCTCTGTCTCTTTCTGATGCCCGATAAAGTGCCGTTCTCCCATCAGGAGCACGAGCTCGCTGGAGATCCGAGGCGAAGCCCAAGGTGACTCGCCTTATTGGATGCGATGTGTCGACTTGCAGCCGATATGTTACCTAAAACTGATGTGTTACCCTGCGAGCGCTTGCTCGTGACTGATGCCCTCAATATTGTCATTCATGGAGTCTCCAGCGGTCACACGGCCATGTGTAATTGGTTGAGCGGTAAAGAGGAGAGGATATGAGATACATTATCGTGACAGATTCCTCCTTCAAGAAAACATGCTGTCCAAGGTTTTGCTTTTTATACACATGCTTGGAACACAGTGTTTTTTCACAGTCATCACATATTTTCCACTGTTTCTCAGATGTGTGTGTGTGTGTGTGTGTGTGTGTGTGTGTGTGTGTGTGTGAGAAAAGAGGAAAGTGTGCGCCATGTGTGAACTGCTCTATTATTCAGCGTCTTCGCATAGATACATATGCTGCTTTAGCAAACATTAGCTGAATTAAAACATATCTGTCCACTCGATCACCCACAGAATCAAATACGGTTGTAAACAAAAGAAAGATTATTGGAGTATGTTTTACAATAAATACTATTTCAGTTTTTTTACTTCAAAATTTCATGTTTAATTCAAAGTGTTTCTTGCAGTTTGTGAAATTTACAAGCAATTTTTTTTTTACCATAAACAGAGAGAGAGAGAGAGAGAAACAGTTACCTCTGTTCTAGCTTGTATTCTCATCTATCTATACTTTGAACTTGGCATTGTGTGCTGTGAATATTGCTTGCTCTTATGATAAATTATTTGTAATGCAACTGCAAGGCGCTTAGGATAAAAGCATCTGCTAAATGAATAAATGTAAATCTAATATACCTCCTTTTGGCCAAATTAAGGCAATATTTCATATATTCTTTGCAGTGAACAGAATCCCAGAATGCATTGTGACAAGCAATCACATAAATAAATAGATAGATAGATAGATAGATAGATAGATAGATAGATAAATAAATAAATCCTTCTAAGATGGTTAATAGGTTGAGAGAAATGTTGATCATAATACAAAATACTTGTATCTCATTCAATACTAAAGTGTATCAAATAAAACACTTTATTGCAATTAAAAATTGATCATTGGGGCATTTCGGGATTTCATAAAAGGAAGAAAGTCAATGGTGTTCAGTTTTGCACAGAGACAGATCTGTAGCTGGATTCAACCATTAACACCCTTTTTATGCATTGTTTAAATAAAGTTCCCTAACAAAGTATTAATGTGATTACACAATCAGCAAAGGCTATTTATGTGACACCTGTATGTTGTCACTGTTTGCGTGGGCATAATATTGTTTGAGTTATGTAAAATGCATTTGGTATCAGACACTATAATGTTGAATGAAAAAGTTTTTGTGCTTTCCGTGAGACTTTGTTTTGCTAGTGTTTGCTCTTGTGCTGGTCTGCATTTGCTTATCATAAAGCTTTATCATTTGCGTAGTTTAAATGCAGCTCTTTTGGAGAGCACATTCATCACTGAGCTTCAAAGATAAAGTCTCATATCAACAGCAAAACAGCAGCAGTTACAAAATATTAAATATACAAACTGCCTGAGTCAAGACCCAGTGTTGTTTTTCTTTCTAACATGATGTAAATTAATAACTGCAACAAACTAATTAATGGACAGTTTAATGCAGTGCAACGTACAAACGACAACATTCACATACACATGAGTGATAGAGTGGGAGAATCGGTTCAAAGTAACTGAATGATTGTCAGCCAGTCAGAATAGAATATAATTTCTGAAATATGGTTTCTGCTGAATGTCCTAACAAGCATTTATAGTAAACCATAATATACTTTAATGCCATTTATAATGAAAATAGTATGACATATTTTTACTGTAAATGCATTTGTAATTACACTGCAATCATTTGCAGTGATAAAGATACAGTTTATAATCAAGTACTTTACATAATCTTTAGCACGGCAAAAGGTTATTAAAACAATGTTTTAAAACAAAACTTTAAATTTTACGTTATTACAAAGTGTAGTTTTTAAAAGTGTAAATGTGTTAAACACTTGAAAGTCTCTCTTTAAGTACACTTAAGTGGCCTTTTTTCATTAATGTTATCTGCAAGTACAGTTTTTTTAGTATATTAAATATACTTTTAAGATTTGAAGTACTCTACAAGTGCACATTTAATACAACCACACTTATTTTTTACAAGGTGAAGAATTCTGTAGTATATGACAAACTCTAAAAGTTAATTACAGTTAATTTAAACCATTGAAGTCTCTGTTCACTCTGTAATCATAAATCTTTGGCTCTTTAGTTCCATATAAAATTGGATCAGGTCAAGGCCAAGAATACAAAATTATTTAAACACACAGACACACACACACACACACACACACACACACACACACACACACACACACGCACACACAAGGTTTAAAGCCCTAAAATAGGTTGCATCTTGTTCACTTGGGAGGTTTCTTTTTGTTGCCCCACACAATATTAAGTCTAAAGAGGGAACATCATTGCATTTGTTACTTTACATCCCACGAATCTCTGCATTTTTTTTTTCATTATAATGTAATAACTTTATAACTTAAAAGTGTGTCTTCCAAGTTTTTATTTTGCAAATGCATCAAGAATCGATAGGTCTGGAGAATCACAATTTCAACGATAAACAATGACAACAGTGTAGACTTGTATGCAATTTTAAAGCTGCCATATTGTGAATGCATTGTTAGTGCTGAGGAGGAACAAAACACATTTCCCATTTTGTTGTCTACTTCACCGGTACACATCCAGGCCCTGTTTTATTTCAGATTTACATTTGCTCTGTCTTGTTGTTTGGATGTCAACCCTTTGCAGTCAGAGGCCGCTGGCCCTATCGGTCTGGGCCCCGATCCATCCTTGTACACCTTATAGAATTCTTCATGAGCTATACTGACCACTGGATCCTTTCCTCCCTGCTCAGTCACACATTAATTGGTCGATCAGGCAGTGCTCGTCCCTCTGAAGCAAAAATAAATGGAAAGCAACTCCTCTCTGGTTCTCTGGTGTATTCCTGTGCTTGTTAGTGGTGTAAATTGTCTGGCAGGGCTTCCGGGGAGTTTCGCAGGAAACAGGTGTTTACTTAACCCAAGTCTGCAAATTGGCTTTGATGGGAGAAAATTTCAGCACACAGAAAGAGAAATGGAGGAGAGAGAGAGAGAATGCGGCAGCAGGTAGTGAGGAGGAATATTTGCTTTGACAGGCGAGTCGATTAAGCAAATGTCCTTATCAGACGGGTTTGCGCATTTGCCAGTGTTCACAGCTGTGTGTCTCGTTCCTCCGCTGGCATGAAAGTAGATTTAAATCAGATTTGGCCCACATGGGTTGGGGGTGTCACCCAAACCATAATCGCTACCGAATCATGAATATGCTAATTGCTCCAGTGCTATTGGTTGACATGTTAATGCATTAAAGTATTTGCACTAGATTACTGGTAATGTGCTGTGATTGTGGACATTTCTCCTCCTGTACCATCAGGATCTCAATAGTTTTTTTTTTTTCTTTCCTTCTTTAGGTGGCCTTAACTACTATGTACTTTGCCATTTGATACAAAACACTGCATACATACAATTGAGGTCAAACGTTTACATAAACCTTGCAGAATCTGCAAAATGTTAATTATTTTACCAAAGTAAGAGGGATCATACAAAATGCATGTTATTTTTTATTTAGTACTCACCTGAATAAGATATTTCACATAAAATACATTTACATATAGTCCACAGGAGAAAATAATAGTTGAATTTCTAAAGATTCAAAAGTCTACATACACTTGATACTTACTGTAATACTGTGCTGTTACCTGAATGATCCACAGCTGTTTTTTTTTGTTGGGGGGGGGTTTGTGATAGTTGTTCATGAATCCTTTGTTTGTCCTGAACAGTTAAACCGCTCTCTGTTCTGAAGGAAAGATCCTTCAGGTCCCACAAATTCTTTGGTTTTTCAGCATTTTTGTGTATTTGAACCCTTTTCAATAATGACTGTATGAGTTTGATATCCATCTTTTCACACTGAGGACAACGGAGGGACTCATATGCAACTATTACAGAAGGTTTACATGCTCACTGATGCTCCAGAAGGAAACACGACGCATTAAGAGCCGGGGGTGAAAACGTTTTGAATTTGAAGATCAGGGTAAATTTAACTAATTTTGTCTTCTGTGAAACATGTAAGTATCTTCTGTAGCTTCTGAAGGGCAGTACTAAAAAACAACAACAACAAAAAACAGCTTTGGATCATTCAGGTAACAATGCAGTTGTCACACTTATGTTCTGTTCTTCTAAGTTTCCATGGACTTTTGTTGTGTTTTCATTCCTCATGTGTTCTGTGACCCAGTTTTTCCACGTGTTTGATTATGTTAGTGAGTTCACCCGTGTCCTCATTAGTTGATCCTCCTCACCTGTCTGTCCCTCATTAGCACCCCTATTTAATTTGTAGTCTGTC